TCCCCCATTTTCGTATACTCGCCTCTCACCCACGTTTACCATCAGTTACCCACGATTCTACAATTTTCTTTTCCAGTTAATTTCACAAAATCCTATTTTGAAGTTGCATCTGTTTTTTCAAGTCACAAATCATGAAAAAAATCAGCACTCCAAAAAAAAAGCTTCAAAAGCTATATTAGCTGATATCCCATTCTTTGATTTGGGTGTTTTAACACCAAAATCACCACCCAAAAACGCAAAATCGACACATGCAAGTGAACCTACTACTAGTATTTCATCTCCTAGACAAATCCGTGCGGAGATGAGAACCAAGCATTTGCACGATGTTGATGCTGGTGGAGGTGATAAATCAGTCGAGAAACAACTCAAACGAAAGGGCAAAGAGTTGTGTGTAGATGATGATTTTGTTGAACATTTTCCTAAAATTCCATCTGTGAAAAAACCCAAGGTCTCTCCTTCTTCATCAAAACCGGGAAAAAAAAGAAACCCTCCAAAAAAGTATCAAAATTGGTTCACAAAAAGATTTTGGTAAAGATAAACACTAATTATTTTTCTTTACAGTTTTTAGTGTGATTTTGGTTGTAAAAATTTGTTGTTCAAGTATTTTTTGGTAAAATGTGGAATTGTCCAAATTTTGTAGATTGTTTGTCTCAATTTTGTAGGTTAATTATAATTGTGATTTTTAGACAGTGCATAATTGTAGTCATTTTGTAGTTGTTTTGTAGTCTGCTGGATAAATTGTACATAAGGTATATTTTTCACTTTTGTATGTTGTTACATTTACCTTCATACTAACTACAATTAATCTACATTTTGTGAGTTACTTGAACTAACTGTTATATTTTTGTAGTTATAGAGCTGTGATTACCCTTTTCTTCCTTATTATTTTGAGATGATGTTTACATGTGTAGATGTCCTGTATTGTTTTGTAGTTATATGTGTGGGTAGGGTGTTCTTCTTTTAGTTATATTTTGTAGTTATCATGTAGTTATATGTAGATTACTGCTTCTTTTTTATGCTAACTACTAATGTTCAATAATTTTTTATTTTCTGCAGAATGGCCATTACTTTGCACCACAAAATGTTGATTATGGTGTGCTTAGATTCCACAGTTTGTGTGATCCGAGTATACCTAGCCAGATAAAAACTTTACTCTCTCCAAATGCTTTAAAGCTTTTCCAAAAAACTTGTTTTGGTTACTTATTGAGTACTGAGGTCGATGAAGAACAATTTTGAATTCTACAATTTGTATTGCGTTGTAGAATTTGTAAAAGCAATTTGAGTACTGGAGCTTCTGAAGCTTGCGTTGTTTTAGAATTGTAGTGAATGAGAGAATTACGCAGCAATGAGATCTCTTTCCGTTTCAAAATTCGAATTTAATGTGAAAAGAATCAAACGCAGATTTCGTGCCTTCTTTTTAGCGCGTTTTAAATGGCAGAATCTGCCTAATTATGGATTGGTATATAAATTGTAGTAAAAGTGTGAACTGGGCGGGTAATTAACAAATTATGAATATTTTTGATAATAAGGTTTCATATATAAATATGAAGGTAATAATCTCATTTTGTTTCCTCTAGATAATCCACGTGAACTGATTCTAATTTGCCGCCCCATTTCATAATTAGCAAGGGGACAAGAGCCTATTGCAACTATAAAAGTCTTATTAGGCTCTATCTATGACCTTTTCTTTATTTAATTTGTGGAGAGGATAAGGTGTAGCCTACCCATAAAGACAAGATTCCTTATTGGCAATTACAAACAACCAAATAAAATAGTTCCACTCACTCAGTGATCAAATATTCAAACATAGTACTCCCTCCGTTCATTTTTTCTTTTCCAGTATTCTAAAAATAAATTTTTACTTGTACGTGTCATTTTTGGCATATCAAAAGAACACAATTTCTTTTTTCTTGTTATACTCATAGTATTAATTACTTATTTCAAATTATTTTCTCAAATCCATTAAACATATGCATCAATCAATATAGGTATCATGATAAATTATGCACTTCATTTATTATTTCTTAAGGGAATTGTAAGAAGGTACATACTGGACAAGGAAAAGTAAACAGAGGAAGTAGTGGTAAACTAACAAGAGCTGTATCGTCTAACTTCATTCAATTTTTAAAGATCTAGCTACTATAAGCTTGAAGTCATCTCACTATCAAAGAATGAAAATAGCTGTTGGGATCAAAGATTTAAAATGCTACTACATCAACTTTACTCAGTGTTAACACCAAAATATTTTCCAAGTTTCACAATGCTAGAAGCTGTAGAAGCTCTGAGACTGCAGTAAATCATACTCAGAATTTCCTCACATGCCAGTTAAAAGCTTATTTGTAGCAAATCTTAGAAGTGGTGGGGAAAAAGGGAAAATAGCATCCAAAAGTGATTAAAAGTACAATGTATCATAAGATTCTAACAACAACAGCAGCGGCGTCTTGGGAGTGTGGTGTGTACGGAGACTTACCCTTACTCCGGAGGAGTAGAGAGGCTGTTTCCGATAGACCCTCGCCACAGTCATAAGATTCTAACTGTAGATAAAAGTTCTCAAAGTTTACAAGCCTTTTTATAAGAAAAGAAGGTAAAGAGAGAAAATGAAAGAACACAGAAAAACCAGATGAGCATATTAAAAAAATTTACTAATAATCAAAGATGAAATTTTAACATACTTAATAATCAAAGCTAGATAATTCGAACTTGAAGCTCATAATTTCCCAAGCTTTGTTGCTCTTCTTGAATTTTCTTTGCACTAGTGACTGCTGCAGCGCTGCAACGTTCTATTTGGATCAATTTTAGTATCATTATATCTCCAATACTCTGAGGAATCTCCTCCAACTTCCGGAATCCATACAGGAGTAGTTGCTCGAGCATCGGAAAACTATCATTAGTTGCTTCCCACCTTTCCAGACCTCCATACTGAAGTCGTAGATATTTTAGTTTTTGAAACACAACATCTTCATTTAGTTTCCAATTTGTTCCCTCGAATGCAGAATATGCTTTGAGCACCTCAAGATTGGGTAAATTAGCCAGCACAACCATATCTTCCCATTGTAAAGTAGTATATGATAATTTCAACTGCTTGAGATTAGGAGGGAAAATATCCCGAGAGAGAATCATCAGGTCACTGCCTAAATCTGCTTCTATAGTTAATGTCTCCAGCTCCTGTAGAAGACTGATAGGATCAAGAATAGCAGGATACTCAGGATGTCTAGATTCATCTAAAATCGTTAGCTTATTTAGATAGGGAGTTCTTCTTAGGATTTCCGCCAAATAAGGAGAGGAAGGGAGAACAAGTGTTTGCAAGTTATTGAGAAACAAAGGTTGTTCTTCAATACTGTTATGACTTTCTGCCGCAAGAGGATTAGGCATATGTATTGACCATCTAATATCTAGATGTCTTATCTCTGACATTGTCCAAATCTCTTGTGGGAGATGCAAGTCTTTGCTTGCAAAATTACGAAGAATTATGGTTTGTAGATTCCATAATTTGGCAAGTGAAGGAGCTTCGTCAATATTTGCAGCAACATATCTCAAATGTATAAGTTTAGGTATTACACTTGAGAAATCGCAACGGACATTATATACGTCCAACACCTTAAGTAGCTTGAACTGTGAAACAATGGAACAAAAAAGTTCTGCAAAATCTAAATCAGAATATTTCGTAAAAATAAAGGTCCGGGTCATACTTGTAATGACACTGCTATGCCTTGTAGGGTAAACATGCTTCTCTTTAATATCAAATGGAACAATTACTCGTCGTTGATCATTTATGGCTTCTGAGAACATGGGGACATTTGCATTCATGGCGTGCACAACATTTTCATTGTGAGCTTCTATTATGCACAGCTGACGAAGAAGATCGTGTATTTTGCAAGTTCTCATCCTACCATTAGCCCTTCGTTTACCGGCCAAAATGAGACTTCTGTCAATCAAGTCTTGTAAATACTCCTCTGCCACCACCTCTAACCTCTTATAGCTTCTTGCTTTTATAAACTGCTCAGAAATCCATAGCCTAATCAACTTGGAAACATTAATCTCCATATCTTCAGGAAAACCTCCAACATAGAGAAAACAAGCCTTCAAATATTGGGGCAGGTAACTGTAGCTCAATGAAAGAATTGCTTGACACTGTTCAGAAACCGTACCAAAGAATGAGTTCAAATTTTCCTCAATTTTCTTCCAATTATCATGTGTCAGGTCCATCTTGCCAAGAAGTCCAGCAATGACAACGATCGATAGAGGTAATCCTCGACATTGTTGTATGATATGCTTCCCTATTTTTTGTAGTTGTGGAGGACAAAGATCTTTCTTGAATAGCATTTCAGTAAACAGATTCCAGCTATTGTCTAAACTTAGAAAAGACATACTATGAGGGGGGAAATCAGGGCTTGCATAATCAGCAACATAGTTAAGGCGAGTTGTTAATAGGATTCTGCTTTTGTTGTTATCATTTGGAAATAGTCTTTGCATTTGGTCCCATACCTCAGTACTCCAAAGATCATCTATGATAATTAGAAATCTCCTACCCTTTAGACCTTTATACACAATCTCTGCTAGTTGATTTATACTCATTGTTTCATAGCTTTCGTCAGTTCTATCCCGACTTATTGAAATAATAACATCTAGTAGCACTTGTCTCTCATTGTAGTTCTCTGAGACTGTCACCCATGAATGTATATCAAATCGATATCGAATAGATGAATCATCATAAGCTTTTCTAGCAAGAGTTGTCTTACCTATACCGCCCATACCAACAACTGGTATGACAGTTAGCTCATGTGTTTGTGCAGTGAGACGATCTAGTATGGCGTTGAAGTCATCCTCCATTCCAACAACAGTATTTTGCTCACTTGCATACCTTCTTGATGAGGAAGAAGTTGTTGCTAATTCTGCAGATTTGCTTCCGCGCTTGTTAAACTCGATCTGCATTACCTCTTTCTTGAGAGAATCAACTTCTTTTTCGACTTCTTGCAATTCTTCATTGAAGGCTTTACAAGCTCTTTCTCGGTCATCTCCGCAATCTGCTACAATGACATTTCTTAGTCTTGAATCAACTCTATATTCTACTTTGTAGACTACATCTCTCAACCTCTTTTCCAAACGCTTTAGAGTTTCAATATCTTTGGCTTCCTCTGTAGCCTCATCAAGGAAAACTTGAAGAGCACAAAGACTTTGATAAGTGGATTCAACATGTTGTTGTGGTATACAGCTTCCACAAACTAAACGTTGGTTAGGCTGCAGGAGTTGCTGCAGTGTATGCATAAGTGAAGAAAGAGCAGAATAAGCCATTCTTCTTCTCTGAGTTTGAGAGCCTAAAATTGGTTGGTTGTTGCAGTTTGCTGGAATGCCTGTAGACAGAGTTGTGCAGATTTAATCTTCCTGCTATCAGTAGCTTAGTTATTAGGCCAGAAGTTCTGTCCAAATTTTCTAAATTGGGGGACAAGGTGTAGACACTCCCTTTTGTCATTTTCTTTAATAAAGTTGATGGATTGGGATTTGGTCTGTGGGCAAATGACCACACAAATACAGTCCAATCCACGTTGGACTAGATCAGAAACAAGAAAATCAAATTATTTCACTTAGGGCTCGTTTGATACGAGGGATAACGAATAATTAATCTCGGGATTAAATTTAAGAAGAGTTTATCCCAAATTTGTTTGGTTGGTAGAAAATTGCGATATAATTAATCCAGAATTAGTTATCCCGGAATTGTAGTATTCTTTTTATCCCATGGAAAGGTGGAATAACTAATCCCGGAATAATTATTCGAAAACGAGCCAGGAAGCAAACGAGCGTATCGGGTCAGATATGGGCGAGTCGAAAACGGGTAATGCAAAAAACAGATAAATTATTCGACCCGACCCATATTTAGTACGAATAAAAAAACGAGTTAACCAGCGGACAATATGGATATCCATATTATCCACGGCTTCTTGAATATGATTACTTTTGAAAAAATTCTTAGTCTCCCAAATTTAAGGAACTCCCAATTTAAGACTTTACAAATATAAAAGTTAAACTCATTAGTTATTCATTGATTATTCATTTTCTAAGTGGATATTGGATAATAATATTTTTATCCATATTTGACCCGTTTTTTAAAAGTTTATTATCCAACCCATTTTTTAATGGATAATATGGGTGGACAACTATTTATTTTTTTTAACCATTTTGCCACCACCAGGCAGTAGTAAAATGACAGAAATTGCAGACGTCTTCGACTGAAGAATATTTACTGAATACAACTTGGGTACCAGATACATATCAGTGCAAGTTCAAAATGAATGAGAAACAGAAGGAAAAAGTAGAACAAAGATTATGAATGCCTATACATAGCAGGAAAGTAGTCAAGGCTATGATAAATTAATTCATACATGGCCTAGTATGCAACTTTTACATTGGCCTGTAATTTCAAGCTGGAAACCCCATGTTAAAACAAGAATGCCTACATTTTTAATCTAACAATAAAACAATGTAAACAGCGAGAAAAAGGGATAAACTTGATCTGAAGAATTACAACACTTGCCTCTTCAATTTCTATAACCAATTCCCTCAAGGGAAGTGAATAGGGAGAGAAAACAAAAAGAATGAAATGCAAATGCAAGTCTGATCATGCTACTGCCTTCTTCCTAACGAAACGCTCTAAAGATTTTGGAAGCTGAGTTTCCTCAGTGAGTTTCCTCTTCTTGGAGAATTCATTCATCTGTTGCTCCAGGAACGGCTTCTTAGCTTTCTCGACAGCTTCTTGCTTCTTCTTTGCAATCTTACTCGGCTTGCTTCTACCTTTTGTTTTCTTCTTCATAGGCATACTTTTAGCTTCCTCAATAGCAGCTTCCATTTCAGCTTCTTTATCCTCCTTTGTTGGCTGTTCCTTCTTTCTTGTTGACCTCACTGTACCAATCTTTGTAGGATCTAACATGATAGTCTCTGGAGGAAGCTTGTCAAGAAGAGATCGGACTTCCTTCTCTCTCCTTTGTTTAGATGTTTCGAATGGATTTGCCACCCAAGAATCGAAGTTGGGTTCTCCGGATCCTGGAATTAAGATAGAAGACCAACCCATAGAATGCCCTATGCCTAGAACATCTTCATATGGTCTGAACGCCACCTTCTTTACTTGGTATCCTTTCGCAATAGAATGATTCATATATCGGCTATAATTCTGAGATCCAGAAAGATCTCCAAAAACTTGTACGAAAGATCCGGTTGCAGCAGCAAGTAAACCTTTTTGACTAAAATCCAAGGCCTTGCAATGTCCGGGTAACGTTTGGAGAACCTCAAACTTCCTCAAATCCCAAATCTTTATTTTCCTCTCCATACCAGCAGTTGCCATAAGATGGCCGCTAGAATGGAATGCAAGAGCGGTGACTGGTCCAGGATGACAGAGCATTTTCACTAGGGGAGCAGCGCTTGTAGGCTTCCACATGCTAACCGTTCCACCAGAATGGCCGACAGCAACCACACCGTTGAAAGGATTCACCTGCATCACATCAGTACGACCCAGGCCAGTTCGAAGATTACCTACCATCTGTCCAGTAGTAACATCCTGATAATGGAGCTGACCAAATTTGTTTATAGAAGCCAAAAGGAAGTGATTCCTTAAGAACTGAAGCTTTAGCACAGCACCATGTTCCTGGAGTTTTAAGGAAGAGCATAAGTGAGCACCATCTTACTTATTAATTTTGGCTAAAAACCTAAGCAATCAGGAAATGCAAAAGATGAGCATGCAGTTGTTTCACAATAACATTACTAAAATAGCAATCAACCACATGGAATCCATAAATATTTATTTTATGGGGCAGTCGATTAGAAGAGATTAAACAGGTCAAACTAACCTTCAGGCAATGGAGCTCCGTGCCATCTCTATTGTATATATACGGGTACCTGTGACATGCCAGATACTTAAATTTAGAAACGAAATCTGTCAAATTTGTGATGGACATGGGAATGAAAGAATAGTGATTGGTGGGATGTGGAATATAATAAAAAGAACTTGCAATTGTTGATGAAATTATTGAGCTTCACATAGGATCCAGCAGTAAAATTCAAGTTGACAGAATGAAAAGAAAATGCTAGAACAAGTTCATCCGAAAGTCATCCTTTTCACATACAGTCCAAACCAATTCTGAGATCTATGTGAACTTTTAAGAAGAGCGTAGGAACTTATATAATCTTTATACCCTGTGAAACATAACCAAAGGATGAGAGTTCCTTTGCAACCCATCTTATAACACATTACAATCAAGAAATTTGGACATAAAATGAGTCTTACTTCTTTTGAGCAGCAGCAAAAAATTGTTCATTATGCAAGAATACTACATCACGCACCGTTTCCCTGACCTGGAATAGAAGGAGAAGCTATAAGTCCACCTGAGCCTCAAAAAGTGGTGAGGAACTCCTTAATGCAAATGTAGTACAAGACTTTATTTCAACGACGACGTGTAATAAGATAAATGATGCTGACACTTATTCATTTGATAAGCTAAGTGATGTATGTGATAATACAATTAATGATACCAAGTTGTCTAATTCTTCAAGCTAAGATTACTCCATACTAAACGGATTATTATGTGTGACAGCCAACGGCAGCCTTGAAAACCCCCGAAGTAATTTGACACCTTATGAACTATAACAACACATCTATATGCTTGGTTTATATAATTTTTTATGAGAACAAATCAAACACCAATAAGTACCTGCAGTTCTTTAACGAGTTTCATGTTTTTCATATCTACAATAGCAAGGTGACCTTTGCGTCCAGCTGCAGCCATGTAGCGACCACTAGGGGTGAATTCAAGAGTGTAAGGACCAAAATCTGCAAAATACGAGTCAACAACTTAAGTGATACTAACTTTAACCATAATCTGCGGAAGCATAAATGCTTCAGACCAAACATTTCATAATTATTTTTGAAATTATCTGATAAAGCAAAATAACAAAGGTTCTCTCTTCACGGCTTCCATTAGTGAGGCTTTTACACAACAACAACAAAAAACCCAGTGTAATCCCACAAAGTAGGGTCTGGGGTAGAGTGTACGCAGACCTTACCCCTACCTTGTGAAGGTAGAGAGGCTGTTTCTGATAGACACCCGGCTCAAATTAGTGAGGCTTTTACTAAAATTCAAAAAATTATCTGAGCAAAATCAAATTGAACAGATGAGTAATGACTAAATCCAGTTACAATTGCTAGGGAAGAATCACACTGCGTTCCACTATCTTGCTTGCAGGTTAAATGGATAAACATGTCGGACATGCCCAAAATCAAAATGAAAAGGAAACAAAGACCAACAACTCTGCAGCTTTTTCAGTATTTATATAAGCAAAATCTTCCAAAAGCTTAACCTGGTAAGACGATATCATATTGTTTCCTGGAGCTCAAAATGTCAACTTCACGGGCAATTGCCTCTTGCTTGATTCTCCATGTCTTCTCAATACCTTCTTCATCAACCTCTAGATAGCCACCCTCACTTGGCATAAGCCACTGACAAAAGCAGAACAGTCAGAGATTTAAGCAAATCTTTATCACCGGCATAAAAGGGTACACAATCAACAAAATCAACTTCACAAGGTTAACAGAGACAACTTGATACATGCAATATGACCTAGGTTTTCTGCAACTGAGTTTACAACAACAACAACAACAACCCAGTAAAATCCCACAAGTGGGGTCTGGGGAGGGTAGAGTGTACGCAGACTTTACCCCTACCCCCAAGGGGTAGAGAGGCTGTTTTCGAGAGACCCTCAGCTCAAAAGTTTTCTGCAACTGAGTTTAATAAATAAAAAAAACAATATAATGTAGATGCCTAGAAAATTAAGCTAAACTATCTAAACACAGGCTAGATACCTTCTCAGCCTTCGCAGCAGCTGTTGCAGATTTTCCATACAACTCTTCTTTCACAGCAAGCTGACCCTTTAATTTTTTATCCTTCAATGCCTGCAAATTATTAAAAACAGCTCTTTAACATATGATTATCAAGGAACAGAAAAACCAACCGGAATCAAAGGTAAGAGAAAAGCAAGTTTAGAAGTCTTAACAAACTTCAGTACCTCCAAATTTGCTCCTTCACCTCTAAGGTATTTCTTTACTTTTATATCCATCTCTTCAGAAATGACCTGCCAATCAAGATAATGAAAAGAATCATAAGGTAGTAGAGTAAGAATAAGAGAGCAATTGATCAAGTTCTAAATCTTTTTATTCATATTGATGTTTGGTACCTTCTAATCAAGAAATATTGGATCTAATAATTAATTGTAATCCTTTTGATCTTATGACTATTTGGTTCAAAACACGCCTTGTTAAGAAAACATGCATTACCCTTTTTTCGGGACAGAATACCACCCCACCCCACCCCGCCCCACCTTCTATTTTCACTAGGAAAATAAAATATGAAGCTGAAGAAAACCATATGAATAA